GGTGGCCTATTCTGATTGCATCCACAAACAACGACGTCGTGGGAAGCAAGGGTGGCAGCTCAAATGGATTTACTCGAGCAGCAAAACACCAAGGATGACACGTGCCGACGGCGGCAGCAAATCATTTAGTATCAGGCACCTTTCCCATCTACGAAAGCTTAACAAGAATTTTCGATAAAAAGGTATGGAAGTTTCGAATGGATGTTCTGGTAAATTGTAATTCAGCGTTGCGGTTCTGCTTCTTGTCTTCAAGAACACCGACAACGGTGGCATTCATATAGTTCTTTGGAAAAATATTTTCGTACCAGAACGGGACTATCGCTCTCTTTTACCATATTCCGAAAAATGATGATGACCTCAACGTCCGTTTGAGACAAAAAAGATTTTTTTAACTAACTCTAAACGAGTAGTAACTCCAGCGTTGTGCAAAGCATAGCAGGGGCGTATGCGATCGGCCTTTACGAAAAAAAGACCATTATCACCTTGATGAAAGGGCATTATGTATACATCACTGAAGAGTCGGAATCATAACAAAAGGAAACGCCATTCATGAGTGTGAATAGAGAGAAAAATCGTTTTCGAACGATGTGTGGAATATGTGAAAACTCAGGGTTTCAGAAAAAAATCCTGGTTTCAGAAATGTAGGTAAGCGCCCAACCGGAAAAGTTTTATTTGCTGTTTATTCGAAAAGCTATACTACTTGTACAAGCAGGCAATAGACAAACTCCAAGAAGAGGTCGTGGCTAACAATAGGTATAGGGGATATTGTTGGATGATTTCTTGCGGAGCGTACAGGGTTTCCACAAATAATGGCCATTGTAAATTTATACTCACGCGATTTTATTGTAGAATTTGTGTATTTGTTCCATACAAAGAACGTCCTTCAGTGGGCTTTTTCAAAGCGGTGTTTACTTGATATCGGGGCAAGTGCGGAAACCAGATAACTATGGTTCATTTTTCCTAGCCGGTTTCCTAAATAGCAAAGAAGGGTGAGGAAAAACGCTCTGGGATTTGCGGTTTACACAGCTTCGTGGCACATACATATTAGGTACCGGATATCTTAGTGTCGTTTTTTCACCACGAGTTTCGGACCACCAATATTTTAATTCAGAATCCGGGGAGTGAAACGCATATTCGAATGACTCATTAGCACTTTCCATTTACCAGTATGAGTGGAAACCTCGTACGATTAAAGCTAGGAATTTTTTGAGTCGAAAAAGAGAGGTAGGTCGGTTTTGACATCATCTGACAAATCATCCCTCTCACTTGCTAAAAAGTTAGGCCTGGACAAAAGAAGTATACAGTTAGTTAGAGTAGGGTCTGCACTGTATGGTGGAAAAGTTAAACTTACCAGCTCAACTGGACAATTTTTCCCGGAGTCTTTTTTGCCACATAGGGTCAAAAACGCACCCTTTTTGAGCACACGTGAGTAGCAGATGAGCACATTTATTAGAATTTCTTGTGCAATCAACTTCGTTAAAGCGTTTGTGCATCATCGATCAGTCACTGCTAAGGTGTCCTACCATTTCAGCACAAGACTGGTGCAGCCCCGTCTCGACTGATTTAACTAGGGCCACCTTTTTGACGACGATTGCGGGCATCACTTCAAAGACTTCACTGTCTTTTGAGAAAACTGTGAAAAACCGATGAGCATTTTAAATGGTAGTATTCCCTCCAACAAATGCAATGTTGGTTTGGTGGGCGGAAGTTGTAGCTCTCAGCAAGAATTTTGAAGCATTTGGTACACACATGCGAATTTGCACACTGGACCCAGGATTTTCAAAAAAATACACTGCGTTTCATAAATATAGGTCCACCCTAAATTTTTGCTATTCCAAAGTTGCTGTGCATTTTTGGAAAATGCCGCTATTACCAATAGTTTCCCCATAACGAAAAACCTTGATACTTGATTTCTGGAGAAATCTCGATTCAGAATTATTAAAATATCTTCCTTAGAACGTATTTTCACCGTTTCGCAAATATGACTACACATCACTTGTCGAGAGATTTTACTATAACGAAAAAACGTCACGAATTTTCAATAATGGGATGACCCCCCAATAATCATAAGGAACACAATAATACGTTTTGAAATGCTGGTAGCCAAATTAGCTATTACAGTAGGATCGAAATTCGTCTGGGCGCCGATGATCGACCTTTTCAGCTTTTCGGCTGTTCCATTTTGCTTTACTTTGCTGTGGAACTTTATAACAATTAAGGCCCAATGATTCTCTATTGGAATCTAATTCAGATAACATGGTGGCCACCAGATAACTGCCACATTTTTTCCTGCAATTCCATCTGGCGCGGAGGGACCGGCATGGACAGCCGCGTTATCGTGTGTGAAAATCAAGGATAGAGGGGATCCTTGTTGAAAAAATGGTAAGACTCGCTTCGAAAGAACTTCACGATACCCTGTGGAATCTTTGTGAACGGAAACAAAAGCGAGCTCTAGCTACTCAGTCGTTCAAAGGTGCCTCAAACCATAAGGGATTCACCGCCGAAATTACGTTACATTGAAACCATCTGCGATTTTCACGCGATCATCCTGTACCCTCTTTTTCTGCCATATCCACCTAGAATAAACTTTTCCACGTCGATCTCAGACCACCTGTAGAACGAAACAAGGAGGTAGAGTCCAAGATCGCGAAGGGTCTTAACAGCCACACCATCGCTCATTAAGTTGAGCCCTTTTCCACGGAGAAATGGAGACTTGCGATCTTGTAGCGCTCAAATAATCTTGGAACGCTCTTCATCAATCCGTTGAAGATGTTATTGCTCTGCTGGCTTACTCACCACACGGTGGTTTTGCTCACGGAAGGCCGCATTTCAGTACGGACTTTGTTCGGACTCCTTGTATAATTCGAGAGAAGACACCCAATTCCTCCTAAATTTTGAAGGAAACGCAGTCTTTATTTACCTAAGCGACTCTTCTCTCCGCACTGACCAGGATTTTGCACATAGTCGCTTATGCAGTATGAGCCGGCCGACATGGGAGGAAATTCTGCTCCTCAGCTATCCCACTTCAGTAAGTGCTCTGAGCTTGTTACTGGGAAGAGAGGCGAATAACACGAGGTATGGTAAACTCGATGTCGACTGAGCCCACATATTTCCCCGCTTCCCTGATTCCCTTCACGGATCGTGAGAAATGGAAACTTTTTATGAGTGGCCCGATATTCATGAAACGGTGAAAATTCGTTCTAAAAAGTTAATTGGGTTACTTGAGGGGGGAATTTGTCAGAAAAACACTATGAAGGTTTTCCGTGATGAGGAATCTAACGGTGATAGCAGCATTTCCAAAAAATGCACAGCAACTTTGGGGTAGCAAAAATTTAGGGTGGACCTATAATTATGAAACGCAGTGTATATATAAAAATTGGGGAAAAGTTAAATTGTGAACCAACAATAGAAACAATAAGCAACATATTTCGCAGTATTAATGAGCAAAAAGGCCTTCTGAGATATTGATTTTCCATAGTAATCGGCCCCAAAACTTCCTGAACTCAGAAAAGCGACACTAAGATATCCGGTACCTAATAGTATGAATAACGGTCGAGGAATTCCTCGACCATCGCTCTCTGCTGTGCGAGAGTAGAGCCGATAGTGAATGTACGCGCGGAGAGCACAGACGGCTCGCGGGTGGCGAGAGTGAATATCCGCGCGCGAGAACGTAAAGGATCAGGCGAAAATCCTCGACGTGCCGTTGAGGAATCCTCAAGCAATATTCACCCTGTGCCTAATATC